ACGATCGTGCCTGGCTGGCAGTAACTCCGCAGTGCTTTTCTCTTCAGGCACGATCGTGTCTGACTTCGAGGGCACGATCGTGCCTACTTAACTTCCGAATTTGACAAAACTTCCTTCATGAAAGTTGTAGATAATGAAGTCCTCTATCCACCCCAATTTGCCGAATGTGATTTGAATCATCCAATCAAGAGATATGATCAAAACGGTGGAAGGTATCTTTCTGAAATCGCAGCAGAGATCATCTGACTTCATCGTCTGTTTTCACCTTCTTCCTCTCAGATTCTCGCAAAGGTGTCTTCATATGATTTGTAGCCCTTGAAGTTGGATTTCCTATGGAACTTGAATCGTGTACATTGGATGTTTCTACAAAGAGATATGTTTGAACGATTGACAGAAGGTCATCCTGATCATCGTTTTCAAGCTTCATTCATCTTCTTTTGATCCCGAAGCCAATCCTAGAGCTCTTTTTCCTTCAAAACTTCATCGTGAATCTTCCGGTGACCTCCAAAACTATCAAATCATTCTCAAATGCTTCTCAAATCATCCCGATTGTTCCTCAAGTGCCTGTACCAGGTTCAAATTCACTGATTTTGACTACAAACAACACAAAACTCGAACCAACGCCCGGTAAACATAACTTGAGCTAAAATTGAGACTTGTAACACCTTAAAACTAGGAAGATCATCAAAAGCCGATCTCAACACGCATCAAATACGTGTCAAAATACGGACTTATCAGATTCCCCCACATTTAAGCCTTTGCTTGTCCTCAAGCAAACTGAACAACGGGTTTTACGATAATCACCACACGAAATCAAAACAATTAGCATGCACACGTAGTTAAAGGGATATTCACAGAACAGAGAGTCTAAACCAAGAAAATTCTTCCCTAAACTACATCTTTGTACTCTAGCTAACATATTTGACAAAATTATTCACAACATCCTCAAAGTAGTGACAACAGACACAAATAAACTAGCTACCGATCAGAAGGACTTGTGAAGGTGGTGGTGAATGGTTCATGGATAACAAAAATAGTCTCTTTCTTTTGAGAGATTGAAATATTCTAACAAAGACTCAATGTATTCAGGAACTTCAGGGCTATTCTTAGGAACAAGGAACTCAGTAGGCCACAATTTAGGAACAATCATTTAAACATATGCTAAGAGTAGACATGGTGTACAACTAAACTAAACCGTCTCGACACATTTGTGCTTTGACATATATTTGAAGTACACGGAGGACTAAAGCTAAATTTCAATAGCCTCCAAGTTCATTAATTATGTTTAATTTTCCTTGTCATGTTGGCACGAGAATGCCATTTCTTTCGAAAGATACCAAAGTCTCATCTTACGCTTTTTGACCGGGGCTCCCATTCCCTTTTTCGCAAAGTAAGAGGTCTAGCTATATTAATTAATTTTTTCAATTTTTCAGATTTTTTTACTAGACATTACCCCATTCTAATCTCGGCCTCACCAAGGAAAAATAGCAATTAAAGTTCATTAATTTCAAAGTGAATCCATGCCTACAATGCAATCCTCGAAAGTATCATATTCCTAAAAGATGACTGCTCTTACCCCATTTGAGGCATAGGAACAGTGCCAAAAGTGACTCCTACACAAATTCCCTAAACTTAGCAAATTAATCCCTTAGTTCCCTAAACATCAAGACTATGTTAGAAATATTCACGGGTAAGGAAACACGGTCCATTTGGCTATGGAGCTCAATTAATTGGGGCAAACAAAGAACGGTCAAGCTCAAAATGGTTTATCCTAAAGGACTCTTTCAGGTGTGGTGGATGATTAATGGAGAATTCAATGGGTGACTAATGCCTTCATCCTTTCAACAAGTAGATTACCATGAGCTCACAACGCATAAACACTTCAAGAACATTCTAAAAGCATAGTCAAAACGCTAGTCAGCTCACAAAGACACAGTTTGAAGAAAAATTTTCAAAATTTTGACATGATTTTTCTACGAATATACAACTAATACCTGCGCATGCTAACTCTAATAATCACATGTAACAACTACTGCCCGAATGCCCAATTCACTCCCCCACACTTAAACTTTGGCATCGTCCTCGATGACAAAAAATGCACTATGCACAAGGGGTAAAGAGGAAAGGGTCACGCGTGCTCAACTTAGCTCAAGTCAATTATTACAAACAGGCGATTACTAGAGTCACAGAAACTTCCCTAAGGCGTTGGTCGGTGAAGAACTAAACTGAGTCAAGTGATCCTCGGCACATCATCCCCAAAACAAGACACTGAGCTGCAAAAACAAAACACACAAACACAAAAACAAACCCAAAAAAACACCCCAGATTTTTTTTTTTTGGTTTTTTTTCCCCGGGGTTTTCTGAAAGAAAACAAACAAACAAACAAAATGCAGAAATAAGCTTGGGTTGCCTCCCAAGAAGCGCTATTTTTAACGTCGTTTGCCCGACGTAACTTCCTCATATGCTCTCAAATAGAAAAGACTGTTATGGTGCACTAGTAATCAACGTTTCCAGCTTCCCCTCAACAAATGCAATTAAGTGGCGCAAACCCTTAAATTCTCTAGTAAATGTAGGTAGCACATGGTCTTCATAACCCTCATCAGCACAAAAGTAAAGTATGAAACTCTCATCCTCTTCGGGCGGACAGAGAACATGAGTGAAAACTTTGATTACTCTAGGTGTCTCTGGAAGTTCAAAACATGTCTCCAAGCAAGGAGTAGGTGCAACACCGTAATCAAACTGCACCATAGAAAAGTCTTCTTCTTCCTCACAAATATCATGAAAACACAACCTCTCCTCTGGACTCTGGGGTTTACAGGCCGTTTAAATAGAAAAATCAGGTTAAATTTGAGCTTTATTAGGATTTTCGGAGCCAGACACGATGCCAGGTACGATCATGCCTTCGATCGTGCCTCCAGAGCAAAAACGCGCATTTTGGGCAGGCAGGATCGTGCCTCCCTCCAAGCACGATCGTGCCTGGCTGGCAGTAACTCCGCGGTGCTTTTCTCTTCAGGCATGATCGTGTCTGACTTTGAGGGCATGATTGTGCCTACTTAACTTCCGAATTTGACAAAGCTTCCTTCATGAAAGTTGTAGATAATGAAGTCCTCTATCCACCCCAATTTTCCGAATGTGATTTGAATCATCCAATCAAGAGATATGATCAAAACGGTGGAAGGTATCTTTCTGAAATCGCAGCAGAGATCATCTGACTTCATCGTCTGCTTTCACCTTCTTCCTCTCAGATTCTCGCAAAGGTGTATTCATATGATTTGTAGCCCTTGAAGTTGGATTTCCTATGGAACTTGAATCGTGTACATTGGATGTTTCTACAAAGAGATATGTTTGAACGATTGACAGAAGGTCATCCTGATCGTCGTTTTCAAGCTTCATTCATCTTCTTTTGATCCTGAAGCCAATCCTAGAGCTCTTTTTCCTTCAAATCTTCTTCGTGAATCTTCCGGTGACCTCCAAAGCTATCAAATCATTCTCAAATGCTTCTCAAATCACCCCGATTGTTCCTCAAGTGCCGGTACCCGGGTTCAAATTCCCTGATTTTGATTACAAACAACACAAAACTCGAACCAACGCCCGGTAAACATAACTTGAGCTAAAATTGAGACTTGTAACACCTTAAAACTAGGAAGATCATCAAAAGCCGATCTCAACACGCATCAAATACGTGCCAAAATACGGACTTATCAGGGAGAAATGCCCTTTTTTGTAAAGAAAAATGTGATTTTGCTGAAAATGTCAAGAAAATGACACTTACTCTTTCGTAATGCCAAACTTTTCTTTGAAACTGTCATCAATATGACATTGCTAATGCATGTTGACATTTTTTGTTTCTGGTGATCGGAGTTGGTGGTGAAAGGGTGGCAGAGGCGGCTGTATTTTTTTTTAAAGTTTTTTTTTATAAATTTAGTTTTTCTGATTTTTATTATTATTATTTTTATTAAATATTTATTTGTAGTAAACAAAAACACATAATTAGTCCTCCTATGGACATATAACATACTTGTATAAGAAAGCAACAACTAAGATATTTGACAAGATATTTGACGTAGGTGGTTAAAGGAGTGTTTGCAATTGCTCCAACTTTAAAAAGTGATTTTTTAAAGTGATTTTAGGAAAAGTGATTAATAGTAAAAGATGATAGTGTTCGAGAAAAAAGTGATTCGGAAAAAGTAAAAGTTGGTAGTGTTTGGTAAAATAAGTACTTTTTGTGAAATAGAAAAGGTGAGAAGCAGTTTAAAGCACCCTCCTACCTGCTTCCAGCTTTTAAGTGATTAATTTAAGCTGTCATTTGAAAACACTCTTTTCAACTTTTCTTAAGCCAAAAGCTAAAAAACGCTTTTTTAAGCAATCCCAAACACTCCTTAAGTCTACAAATTGTCTACATGTGGTTGTGGGTTCAATTCACATTTGCCCCAACTTTTTTATGGAGCATTTTTGAATTACACACAGGCACGAAGTACACATGGATGGATATGTGACGTGGGCTGAAAATGACTTGGAAATGGAAAAACACCCTTATTTGGGAAATGGAATCATCTAATACAACCACTTTAGTCAGAACTTCATAAATTTCAGCACAATCAATTTTAGTGTTACCAAACGGACTTTAAATATGAGATATTTCACGGATCAAATCGATATAGACCAGAAAATTTCAGTTCAAACTCAAAATAACCACAAAATTAAAAGATTCTTACGGGAAAATTACATCGTACGAAGTACTTCGTATTTGGCATTAAATAAACAGAAATTACCCTAAATAGGAGTAAAAACGTTTTGAAATTCCAAAATAGGAGTATCATGTTTTTTATTCCCTAAATAGGAGTAATCTGCCAAGTTTGGAAAAAAATGCCATGTTTAAAGCCTTGTAATTTCCAAACTTGGCAGAAATTTACTCCTATTTAGGGAATAAAAACATGATACTCCTATTTTGGAATTTCAAAACTTTTTTACTCCTATTTAGGGAATTCTCTCTTAAATAAACAAGAGTCGCTTGGTTCAGCGTAGAACCTCCCTCTTTGTTATACATTTCATAAAGTACTGTAAAAAAAAGAAAAGAAAACGTAACCCTATTATATTTCTTCATTTCTAAAAAAAAAAAAAAGAGAGCAGGGACATGAGTAATAAAACATCATACATAACTGCCGGAGAAGAACTTCATTGTCACTCCGGACAGTTTCCGGCCCAAAGGAGACAGGAAAAGAGCAACCTTTGGCAGAGCCGGGTAGGTCAGCGTTCCTAGTATAAACCAGTTGAAGCAGAGGAGAGCCACCGCCTCCGAAGCCGGGTTGTTTTTTATGGCGAAGAAGAAGCCGACGACGCTGCTCAATGACATCGCCACCACCGCAAATAGGGCAGCGACGAGCGGCCCGCACGGCTCTTCGGCGGCCCACACCGTCGTCCCCACCACCACGGATAACCCCGCGCTGAAAACACTCTTCACTAGCGCTGCTTTTCTTCTTTGGTGTTGTTGGGCTTGGGCCGGGTCTAGGCCCACTCCTACCTCAGGCTTGACAAGTTTATTATTGTTATTATTATTTTTATTATTATCATAAGAAATGTTTTTGCTGGAACTGGCAGGAAAATGTTCCTTTTGGCTCCAACGTGTTTTCCCTCGAATCTCCTTCAGCTGTTGGTTTTCTCCCTTCAGACCCCTAAGCTATTAGGGGGTATGGAAAACAAAAATTAAAGGATCAATTTTATTCGAATAATATAACAATGTAGCAACAAAAAATCCCACTTTATTAGTTCGTTTTTGAATTTTTTGCTTAATACGGAGTATATGTGTGAAAGATTTGGACACCAAGATTAGAACAGTTTTTTTTTTTTGAATAAAAGATTAGAACAGTTAAGAGCTCAAACTCCAATTAAAAAGACTTCAATCCATCAATCCAATACCAAATAAAAAAGTTCCATGCCAAATGTGATCTTATTTGTTTAGGTCGGGAAACTAAAGAGAACGAGTTAAGGAATTCTACAAAAAGAACCATTTGACAAAAAAAATTATACTCCATAAAAAGATCCAATTCTACAAAAAGAACCATTCGACAAAATTCTTTTTTATAAAAAGATCCACCAGATTGCTAGTACTAGGCTAGTAGAGTCGTAGCACATACACTAAGGCGCATTATCACCCGCTGTCGTGGGCGATGTCACCGGATTGTTAGTACTAGGCTAGTAGTACATACATTATGGCGGTGAGTACTGATAGTATCACCCGCTGTCGAGGGCGATGTCGGATTGGTAAGGCGCGTGTTGAAGGCGCATTCTTTTTGTGTTTTCAAAAAATCGGTCAGGTAGTCATGTTGTGTAAGCAAATAGAACTACCTAAAATGACAGGAAGATCATAGTTGTGTAGCATGATGATCTATTTATTAGTTAGGACAAAAAGTGGATATTTTATAAGCAATGTAATCCCACCACTACAAGAAGTAGAGTTCAGAATATATACCTCCTCCTCCAGCTGATCGATCTTGAGAAAAGCCTGATCCAGTTCATCCTCCAATTCCCTTAACATCAAGGCCATCATCTTGTGTTCATTGATGGCCACACTTAGTTGTTTCTCCAATCTCCTTCTTTCCCAGTCCACGCTCTCCAACTCTATCTGCATTTCTTGCAATTGCATTTCAAGCTGCATCCACAATGCTATTCTTACATTCAGCGTAAAAGTAATTGCAATCGCATATCAAATTGCATCCAATACTTTTATTTTTGTGGCATGTTTTTTAACTATTCATCCTTTCATGATACCGAGTAACAAATAGGGAGTGAAAGAATAAAAGAGAAATTGCCATTTTTGTTTATTCCAAAACAAAACTTCCACATTTTCCTTCCTTGAAGGAGAGTACCAGACTTTAAACAAACAATTTTTCAGTAATTGCTCTTATTTAGGGAAGAAAAACGACAATGTTATTTTGGAATTTTCACATGTTTTTCCTCTAGGATTTTTCCCAAGATAAAAGTGGTCTCACCGTTTTTTGATTTTGAAGAGCGTTTAACAAACGCATAGGAAGGGTAAAAGTAGCAAAGGCCAAAGTAATGACACTCCAAAAGATGCTAAGGTGGAGGGAGATAGCGTTTCTGAGAAGCTCGATGCACGTTAGGACCACAATGCCACAGCTTTTCACGCACAGAGTGATCAGCGGAAGCGGCTTTAATAGCATCAACAACGCACTTGTCATCAACTCTATTAACCAATCCATCTTCTACTACTTTTAATTACCCCCAACTAATTACCATTCACCAACTGTAACTTTAATTCGCACCTTCCCACCTGCATACATACAAGTAAAACAGAACATCTTAATTCACCCATCTCAGTTACTCGTGTCCCTCTCGGTCAAACCTCATCTCGGATTCAGCCATGCCTAATTTGTGACTGCCAATCCTCAGCTGGATAGAAATCTAAGTGTCAATTTTTGTGATTTCAAAAAAACGCTAACCGAAAACAATCGTTTCTGTTTCGGGAAATAAACTAAAAACTTGAGCCAAAAATTTGTTGAATTCTATGAGACATCTCGGAGTCTCGGGAAACATGAAACGGGAAACGACCGTTTGGAAAGTTTCGAAAACGTGCTCTTTCCAAAGAGTTTCCGTGTTTCGAATTACAACAAAGAATCAAACATATAGCAGTGCAAATTAAAACCCAAAACCCACAAAGACAACAATGGTGAAAACATTAATAATGCAATATACAAGAAATAAACATACACCAAAGATAAAGAGGAAGAGAGGGAAATGCTTTACCTAGCCAGGGAGAGGAGTTGGAAGCAAATGAAGATATCAAATTGTGGGAAGGGAGATTAAGTAAGGGGAGTAGTGTGGTGAGTCAAAGGGAAGGGAATTGAGAAGATTGAGAAATTAAAGAGAGGGGCAAGCGAAGTGGCGTTGCATAATTTTGACACGCTCATGTCGAAGGTGACACGTGTTTAAGAGCTTTATCCTTAATTCAAGTATGGGGAAGGGGCAAGCCGTTCATAAATTTGGTACTTTTTGGAAGAAGTGACGTATTTAAAACTCTGGGAATTGGGACTGCAAAAAAAGTTTGGGTAGCCCCATGCTTTAGTTCAGGTTTGCGGTAGACGTGACTCTATGCTGAGTCAATCATAGATAAAAAATTATTGGAATGAATTCATAATTGTGCCGTTAAAATGTAATTATTTTTAAAAATTCATTTTGAATGTCTTCCTGATTGAATGTTTAGCTGAAATTTGGTATGAGTAAACTAGACTTAATGAATAAGATGTTCAAAAAAAATTATCAAAAAATTCCACCGGGAACCACCTCAAATGACACGTCCGGACATAATTTTCTATATAAGAACTTATTTGACACTTTTTTTACAAATTTGAGTACCAAACTGACCCTTTACTCCTTTTAATTAGGGGCAAATAGGCTGTAAAATCAATTTTAAATTCTAAAACATGAGCATTAGGTTTTAATTTTGGGAACTATAAGTCTATAACACTCACAGCCTTATTAAAGTTTTATAATGCCAAAATATTGCACTGAAAATTTCATAAAGTCAATAAATTAATCCCTTTAATATAAAAATGCGTAAAATATTACAATTTCACGAAACGTGGAGTTACAATTCCGCACAACAAATTAATCATCCCTAATAATGCCTGCTTCTATGAAATCCTATATCCTATATCCTATATATATATATATATATATATATATATATATATACGGAAAAGATCCTGTCCAGCCGGAGGGACAGGATCCTCCGTCCGGCCGCCGCCGTTTGGGGCGGTTCCCGGTGGAGTTTTTTGATGAAATTTTTATGGAATGTTCCTCATCAAGTCTAGTTTATCCACAAAAAAAATCAGCTAAAAATTCGATCGGGAAGGCAGTCAAATAATTTTTTGAAACATAACTGCGTTTTATATGTTTAAGTTGGAGCAGTTATCTTCAAAAAATTATTTGACTGCCTTCCCGATCGAATTTTTAGCTGAAATTTTTTGTGGGTAAACTAGACTTGATGAGGAACATTCCATAAAAATTTCATCAAAAAACTCCACCGGGAACCGCCCCAAACGGCGGCGGCCGGACGGAAGATCCTGTCCCTCCGGCTGGACAGGATCATTCCTCCTCTATATATATATATATATATATATATATATTATTATACCTAAAGGGAGAATCCTTCTCCCAAACCTTTTTCCCGCTTCTCTCTCCTCTTAATAGCTTTGCTCCCCGTTTATTACCTTTGACAGTTACCAACGTTACAATTCTAGAAGCACAAATCCAGGCTCTTCATTTAGGATTGATTCTCATTCACTAGAAAAATCACTTACTACTCATCTTCTCCGTCTTCAGGGCACCGCATCACCACAGTCCACACCTCACCGCACTTAGCCGGCATCAGAGCACCTCGCCGCACCTCTCTGCACTTTATCCAGAGCACATTTTAGTTAATCATTCAAACTATTGGCAATAATACCCACAGGTTACCGATATGAGACAGACATGAGATTAAAAATTCTCAATCCCGCAAGCAAAAAACGAGTGTTACACTTTCATTAAATCAATTGCGAGCTTTATGTTATATTATGAGTTTGTTTTGTAATTTTCATTGTGTTTGGATACAACGAATTGCAGTCAATTAGGATTATAACATCTCAATTTTGCCAATATAAGATGAAATGAGAATAGAAGGATTAATTTATATTTTGAATGAATTGAAGAGCTACATTAGACTTTTTTGTATGGAGTTAAACCCATGTCTAGAGTATATATAGGTTCTCCTAATTCTGTATAATTCATGTTTGATAAAATGCTCAGATCATCTTTCTTTCTTTTTAAATAATATTAAAAAAACTGCCAGATACATTAACTGTATTGATTTGAAATATGGGAGTTTTATTGTTAAGACTAAGGCGGAATTTATAATGAGTCCGTGAATCAGATTTTATCTAAGTACACTAGATAGATCAAAAACATGTATAGGTAATATATGTATGTATGTGTGTGTATTCTACTATTTCACGAAACTTACGCCTCCAAGTGAGGCATTTGTCAGCCTTTTTGGTTGTGGATGTTGATAGTTGACTAATTGTTGTTGAATTCTAAGAGAAATGGCTACCCAACCACACCAGCTGATGTGGGAAATTGTAAAGAAAAATAACTGTTTTTTGGTCAAGGAGTTCGGTAATTGCATAGCTGGTGTTATGTTCAGCAAGAGCCAAGCAATCTCTACAATCTTTATTCTTACAAGTTACAAGCACTATGGGGTGACAAATAAAAAAATTGTGACTATTCAAGGGGGTAAAGACCAAACTGTCTGCTAGCTGTAACGAAGAACAAGCCGATTTGTAGAACAAGTCTGTCATGAAGAAGGAATTCCATCGCATGGCAAAGGTTGTTATCAACCAGGTAGCAGATAACTACTATAGGCCAGACCTGAAGAAAGCAGCACTTAGGGAGATTGAGTGTTGTTAATTGGAGCCTTAAGGTTTAAAAATTGGGTGTTAAGAAGAAGGCCAAGCAGACCATTGTATGAAAGTTTTTCTGCATATATCCCATCTTTGTTTCAGTCGATCCCTATGTATGGTTTTGGATTCTTTTTTGTGTTTGTTTTGTGAGACCAAGAGCCTCTTTGGTAATACTGAAATCGGCTGATTCTCCTGAAACTTGTGAAGTTCTGGCTGAAGTGGCTGTATTGGTTGATTCTGTTGGTTTATGAAAAAATTATATTCAAAGTATATTTTATTAATAAAATAAAGAAAAATTATATGAAAAAATAGTTGAAATGATCATCTACAATAACTTCAGTCAATACAGCAAGAAAAGTAACTTCAACATTGCTTTTTATTATTATTACACAATTCAGTGTGCGGAATAAAAATATTACGTGTCTGGTTAAAAAGTCGGTCGACAAGTCTTATAATCTGAAAAACAGAATCACCAAACGGGATCTATATCATAACATGAGTTGTATGAACTTTGAACCGACAAGCTATATGAACATTGTGGCATTTTTATGCCATTTTTTTATAGTCAAGTACTATGTATTTCTTAGGTAAATAATAAGAACTAATCTTGAAATTGATATAAAAATGAGTGGAAAAGATAAAATTTTAACTTAGAAATGTGGTGGCGTTTTGTTAATTATAAAGAACTTTTAATAAAAACATTGTAACAAAATTGTACCAAAATATGCAAAACACGTACATGTAGAGCACTAAAGTGCATAAAAGTACATGATAAAATAGACAATCTTTTTTAACACTCGTGGGTGCACTTTTATTCTCTTGATATCCACTTTGTAATATAAACATTTGCACATTATTTGATATTGTGTCTTGTGATTAAAGTTCATCCAATCGATCTATTTGCAAGTAATAAAGGCCAAGATTTGTTTTCAATTTTCGTAGGAAAGCTATTTTTTAATTGAACCTACCCCTATGTATAAATATATATATCAGAACTAGGAGCTCATATTATTGAGTCTCAAATGATGCTTGAAATTAATGCATGTGAAATGTTTCTTAATCCCCGGGATTGAGTCTGATCCCATCCCAACCTGCCAAATGTGAGGTTCCTTTTCTCATTTATGCGTGGACAAGTGTAAAGGGATGTTGGTGGAAATCAAGCGTGTTTTCATGTGTATTACTCCCTCCGTCCCAAAAACAACTTTCCACTTTTCTTAAATGGATGTCGCAAAATTAACTTCACACTTCAATACTTTCCTTATTTGGCAAATTATCTACATAAAAAAAGTGATAAATAGTGTCAAACAGTGTTTGAACAGTACCGAACAGTGTTTAAACAGTGCAAAACAATGCACTCTACAGTAAAGTCAAATTTATTTTCTAAAAGTGTGTGAAAGTCAAACCGGGAGGTTGTTTTCAGGACGGAGGGAGTATATTTTTACGCACGAACAATTGTATGTTGCAGTTTCGGAGGTAACAAGTATGCATGCATTAGAATTTGTGATATGCGATGATGAGGGATACCAAAAAAAATAATAAAAACACCTCTAAAAGCAAGTATTTTAACAATATATCAGGTTGTACTTATTAAACTTCTAAAGATTCTTCTTATTATTTATTTGTGAATGTGCTCGGTCGTGTTTTCACGTGTATTTTAGTTCAATATACATATTCATAGATGCAATTATTTACATTTACATTTATAATACTACGTATTTATTAAAAACATCCCGTGCAACGCACGGGTGCGATGCTAGTGAATTAGAATTCCGACTCAATTTAGCACAACGGTTTGTTATAGTGACTTTTGATTTGGTGAAAATAACGTAAAATTGAAAATCAGAGTTGCTATGACTTTTTTTTATTTAAACATAAGTAGTTTATTGATCAAATTTTATTGCAATATTTTGGATTTATATGGCATCAATGTGGCAGTATTGGCCCTATTTGGTAAATGACTTAGCACCCACTTTTTAGCTGGTTTGACCATATTCAGCTAATTTGATTAATTGACCAGCCAAAATAGATGTTTGGTAAACCAGATTATCAAGAGAGCTTTTTCATCCGAAAATCCAAGTTTGAAGAAGCGAGCAGCATTTGGGATCAGATTATCTCCTCCGTGTACGATTCTTTGCTCCGAACAAAGTTACCTGGCTAACATTTGGTCTTTTCTTTGCTTTTTTTCTTTAGTCTTCCATTGTTTTTCCTTTCAAATAATTTGTTACTCCCATTATTAAAAGATGATTATTAAATCAGGGTGGAAAATAAATAAATAACTAACTGAATGAATGAATGAATGAATCAATGAATAAATGAATGAATGAATAAATAAATAAATAAATAAATAAATAAATAAATAAATAAATAAATAAATAAATAAATAAATAAATAAATAAATAAATAAATAAATAAATAAATAAATAAATAAATAAATAAATAAATAAATAAATAAATAAATAAATAAATAAATAAATAAATAAATAAATAAATAAATAAATAAATAAATAAATAAATAAATAAATAAATAAATAAATAAATAAATAAATAAATAAATAAATAAATAAATAAATAAATAAATAAATAAATAAATAAATAAATAAATAAATAAATAAATAAATAAATAAATAAATAAATAAATAAATAAATAAATAAATAAATAAATAAATAAATAAATAAATAAATAAATAAATAAATAAATAAATAAATAAATAAATAAATAAATAAATAAATAAATAAATAAAAAATAAATAAATAAATAAATAAATAAATAAATAAATAAATAAATAAATAAATAAATAAATAAATAAATAAATAAATAAATAAATAAATAAATAAATAAATAAATAAATAAATAAATAAATAAATAAATAAATAAATAAATAAATAAATAAATAAATAAATAAATAAATAAATAAATAAATAAATAAATAAATAAATAAATAAATAAATAAATAAATAAATAAATAAATAAATAAATAAATAAATAAATAAATAAATAAATAAATAAATAAATAAATAAATATATAAATAAATAAATAAATAAATAAATAAATAAATAAATAAATAAATAAATAAATAAATAAATAAAATATACCACTCAAACTAAATACTACCTCCGTTCTCTTTTAAATGCAATGTTGGACTTTTTACACTATTCATATGTTCTACTTTGACTCTATTTTATTTATTAATGTATTATAAATTAAATTTGAAACAAAAATTGTTAAATTCCTCTCACTTTAAATTTTCATAATCTAATT